ATTTTTGCGCTAATTTTGTAATATTTTCATCAGATGTAATATTGTACACTGAGGAAGGTCCAACCTTGCGGACCGAAACGTTTGTGATCTTTTTTTGAATAAAAGTTTATTTTTTATACACGAAGACCCTGTATTACTGCTCGTATCGGCCTTCTAATTATTTGAATTTTTCCCAAACTATGTCCCCCTTTTCGCGCGCGCCAGCCTTTGCTTTTTTATACAAGAAGAAGGCTCGATCCGTGTTGGTGAGATGTGTGGCATAACGCGCCCGATGGCCCGATTTGCGTGCCGATCCATCTTTCCCTACCCGTGTCCCTGCCTCCGTGTTTTTATACGAGGGGGAAGGCAGACCCCTGTTGGTAAGATAGCATATACATCGGGACTTGTCCGTTAGCCATGGATCCCCCGCCTACCCGATCCTATCTGCGATAACGTCCGTTGGAATGCCGGTCCTTCCGCGTGCACGCACGCATTGGCCCGGAACATTCCGCCATCGGGGATCGGTATCCCTGGGTATCGCGCCCTGCGCAGGCGACCGGTATCACCCGCGCACGCCCTACCTACCCGGGGCCTCTCATAGAGAGGCCAGAGCTAAGGGAAAAAGGGGAACCACCCCGTTAAAACTCACGCGGGCCCACTCACTTGCGATTGCAAGGGGGGTGCCGGTTTATCCGCATGCGCGCGCCTTGGAGCGCGGATGCATTGGCCCGGAAGTACACCCCCGTCCACAGGGATCGGTATCCCAGAATATCTGCGCCCCGGTGTGCGCGGGGACAAGTCCCCAGCACACCCACACACACACCTACCCGGCGCCTCACATTGCAGAGGCGAGCTAAGTGACACGCACACACACACTTTCATGCATGCACCTGTCCACCCAACGCCGGACTTACGCGGCTCCTATTATTTTGCAGGCGGAAGTAACGACGCCTGGGCACGTAGCCTAGTCCCCACCCTAGACCTTCGATTATTTAGCAGGCAGAAAGAACGACGCCTGACCCTTCTATTATTTTGCAGGGTGAAGG